ACACGGTTAGAGTCATGGCAGAAAGAAGAGGATGCAATAGGATCACAAATGTGATGAAAGATTTTGCCAAATGGATTGAGGACATGGAATTACATGATCCTCAACTAATTGGTGGGAACTTTACATGGTTCAGAGGGGCAAACCATGACAGTGCAGCTAGGTTAGACAGATTCTTATATTCAATGGAATGGGAAGAGACCTTCAAAAATATAAGGCAGACGATAATGCCTAGAGTGACATCTGACCATAGCCCTATTACGCTATACTGTGGGGACTGGGTCAGAATAAGTCCTATTTCAAGTTCGAGAATTAGTGGCTCAAAGTGGATGGTTTTGAGGGGATTGTGCATAGTTGGTGGAGTGAGTTTGTAGTGGAAGGTTGCCCTGATTACAAGCTCAGTATGAAACTGAAGTTGTTGAAACATAAACTCAGAGAATGGAGTAAGCAAGTGGGTGGGAACCTACTTGAATTAACTGATATTGATCTGGCACAAGGTTCAAGACATCTGACAGAGGATGAGCTAATGGTGAGGGCTACAATTTTGGTAGAATTGGAAGAACTAGCAAAAATTGAGGAGTCTAGGTGGAGACAGAAATCCAGGATTATATGGCGGAAACATGGAGACAACAATACTAGGTTTTTCCAGAGGATGGCTACTGCTCACAAAAAATATAATAATATAGACAGACTGATAATCAGAGGAAAGGAGGTCAAAGAGCCAGAAGTCATTAAGGTGAATATGATTGAGTTTTATAAAAAACTCTATACTGAAACAGAGTTATGGAGGCCCTCTTTCAAGTATGTAAACTACCCTAGAATCTCCCAAGAGGAACAAGATTGGTTGCAAAGGCCTTTCAGCAAAGATGAAGTGTTAAATATAATCAAACAATGTGATGGTGACAAGGCACCTGGACCTAATGGATTCACCATGAGTTTCTTCAAAGTGTGTTGGGAGACTTTGAAGGAGGACTTGATGCAGACAATCCACAATTTCCACCAGAAGGGAACTTTTGAGAAATCATTCAATGCCACTTTTGTAGCTTTAATTCCTAAAAACATGGAGCAGAAGAGTTGAAGGACTTCAGACCAATAAGTTTGATTGGTGGAGTATACAAAATCATAACCAAGCTTCTCACAGAAAGAATGAAGAAGGTCATGGGGGTTTTGGTAGATGAGCACCAAATGGCTTTTCTTAAGGGAAGGCAGATAATGGATGCATCATTGCTAGCAAATGAACTAGTGGACAGTAGGGTGAAGCAGAATCTACCAGGAGTTTTATGCAAACTGGACATTGAGAAGGCCTACAACCATGTAAATTGGTCCTTCCTTTTGAATATTCTGAGAGATATGGGCTTCGGAAACAAATGGATCAACTGGATTAAGGTCTGTATATCTACTGTGAAGTTCTCCCTTATCATTAATGGCAATCCTGAAGGGTTTTTTCAGTCACAAAGAGGTTTGAGACAAGGTGACCCCATGTCACCATTCCTATTTATCTTAGCTATGGAGGATCTCAACTCCATGATCAGGAAAGCAAGTGAAAATGGGTGGTTGCAAGGTTTCAGTGCAAATGCAAATAGGGGAGATTGCTTTATGCAGATGACTCCTTGGTCTTCTGTGGAGCTGAAGTTAATCATATAAGACACTTGAGGGCCATCTTAACCATCTTTGAGGGAATATCAGGACTACATGTCAATTGGCATAAAAGTTGTTTATACCCAGTTAATCAGGTTGCTAATATGCAGGTGCTAGCTGAGAACCTAGGATGTCAGGTGGCCTCCCTCCCAACAAAGTACCTTGGAATGCCCCTTGGTGCTAAGAACAAAGAGGTGGAAGTTTGGAATGAAGTACTGGAAAGATGTGAGAAGAAGCTGTCAAGGTGGAAAAGCCAGTATCTATCCTTGGGAGGCAGAATAACTCTTATCAAATCTGTGATGGATGCACTTCCTACTTATATGATGAGCCTATTCCCAATACCAAGAAGTATAGAGAAGAAAATCAACAAATCAAGAAGAGTCTTCCTGTGGCAAGGAAATAAAGAGAAGCTTGGGTATAATCTGGTTAAATGGGATGTAGTGACACTCAACAAAATGCAGGGTGGTTTGG